TACTTAGTCATTAATATTCTATTTTTAACTTGTATTTAATCAACTATCTTCCACCCCCTGGAGAAGCCATAACAAGCGTTCAACGGTGACTTTGAATAAATATCCTTAAAATCAGGACCACTCTATTGTCATCTACTTATCTCTGCAGGGTGGTAAAAATTATGCTAATTCATACTTATGACCAAGGAGCCAAAATTTCTTCCCATAACTGAGTTTGGATTAAACACAGGCATCTTTTGATATGCACAACTCCCATGCTCTTTCCATTGGCAAGCTATATCATCCTCTGTATATTGTTCAAAGTGATCTTAGATTACATTAACTGTCATTTAATCAAATAAACATATAAAGCTAGAAGTCCAGAATATTAAGAACACATGCCAACAATGTCTTTAAAAATGTAGGACATGGGCACGTCAGAGACAAACCTAGACACTGTAAAGTTAAGAATTTGAAATGGATGTTAGACTAAAACAATTATCATGATTAGAATTTAAATAAATTTTGGATAGAATTAGAAATGGACGTCAGACGAACACAATTTGTTACTTCTTTTTCACACATGCACAGACAGTCTTCTACAAAACACAGGTGTGCTTTAGGAATAGTAATTTTTCCATGGGATGTCGACAAAGTTACCCATCTATCTCTGACTTTCTCCAATTCTCCATCTTCTCCTTTTAGATTAGATTAATGGAAACTTTTTTTGATTTCATTTTTCAGGTTAATTTCTCTTTGTTTAACGAACAATTACGAGAACCAGCTCAAAAGCATTATTGCAAGGTTTTATGTTTTCCAATGAAGAACTGGTTATCAACATGATGCATATAATAAATCAGAAACATACCATGGAAAATTTAAGGAGATAGGACAGAAGTTTGATGTATTCTTCAGCTGTCAAACTCTTGCGAATACACCTGGGAATCATAAAATAATTCTTGTAAGAATAATCATAAATCTCTGTCTGCGCACAAGGAAGAATAATTGCATTAGATGAAAGCTCTTCAAAACATTTTCTAACCTTCCATTAGCTCCAGCATATTGCACAGAAGCTCGAGAATCACTAATTAAAGAGATAGACTTAAATACAGGTACACACCAACTAAGTAAAGAAAATTCATCTTTAGCTACATTTCTGTTTTCTGGGAACTGCTTTACATCTGATTTAGCTGCACTAATACACCTTTCAAGCACTTTCATGAGCATCTGAATACCACCGTCCTTCAACAATAATGACTGACAAGGATAATTAAGATAATGAGAGAATATATCGTAAATCATAACTATTATAATTAGATATGCATTGAATGGAGAAATTTTTTAAGTTAAACACCACCTTTCCATTGGGATGTTCCAATAAGCTACCAAGAAAACTCAGCAATCGATAGCCCTGAATGAAACCACCAGAAATGGTAATGCCAAGATGAAAATTATGTAAAACTGACTAAAATTTGTGAAAAACAAGATTATTATGACCTTGTAAGCATCCACATCAGACAATGCCAAGGGTTCTGAAAGGCGATGAGAGATCCACAATATGATAGGTTGAAGCAGTACTGAAGCATTATCCATATTTAAGTTTGCAATACGGATTATGAAGACTCGCAGCATATCTTGTATGACAACTGACGTCTAATACATGAAAATAACATAATCAAAGAAAATACCAAACATAAAATAAGTCCATGAACGAGAGGCATAAAGAAAAATTAGAAATGCTGCACAGACCACTACACCAGAAGCGAAGGATATCAATCTGAAGTTCGGGCATAACAAGAAAGTATGAAATACATGATAGAGAATCACATACACTGATAGAACAATGCACAACAACTTCTGCCAGCTTCACAAGCTGTGGTGATAATTGACAAACCAGCTTCTCGGGGTGTCCAGAAAGTAAATACCAGTTTATACGTTTCTCTTTCTGAGATCCCAACAATGTCCCCACAGACAATGATCTGAGAGCAGTCAACATAGGCGTTCCATTCTCCCACAGCCAGATACTTTCATCTGGAAACAAATCATTCTAGAAAGCCAGAGAATGTTGTGGAGAACTAAGTCAAAACTCATTTCTGTAATCAAATCATTATTTATTGAAAGAACAATGCAATAGGAAGGTTAAAATACCAGTAGACAAAGTAAACTACAGGTTTCCTTCGGGCCCAGTGCCAGTACAGAAGTTGTATGAAGATTGTCGAGGAGGAAGTGAAAAAGGCCAGGAGTCCAACCATACACCGGCCAACATGCTATAGCTGATGCAAGGAGATGGCACACAGCTTCAAAACCAAGTGCAGAATTGGGACAAGGATAGCATAAGTCTGCAGCACACGCTGCTAATTTGGGGCTGCAAATGGAAGAAATCATTCATTTCTTCACAGACTGTTTCAACGAAATATGTGAAATTCCATACTACCTCACTTCTCGATGTAATTGTAGAAGAGCGTTCATTAGCTTTGTATTCCTGTGTTGCTCCTTGGCTTCCTACAGGTGGATCAAGAAAATGACATGTCTCAATATCACATAGCTTTGTATACAATCAGCTCAAATGGGAGAAGATCCACATATCAAGTGAAGCTATAACAGACCAAAGAAGATAAACAGTGTCAGAAAATTCAGTCCGTATCTGGCCTGGCACTTTTTATTTTTTACTTTTTGATAAAAAACATAATTTTATCAATTATAAAAGCAGAGTTCCAACTATTAAGAGGATAAGGATCCTCTATTCACCAAATATTGGTCAGCACAAAACTTGAGCATTTATATTGCATACAACTAGATCATTTAGCCCTTGTTTGAGCCCCATTTTGGGGGAGAGTGAATTTTTGAATAGTATATTGATCGAAATGTGTGGTTAAAAAATAAGGAAAAGTTTTGGATTTGCGTCTAATATTATTTTATTGAAAAATGTGTAATTGAAATGATGTTAAAATACTGTTGAAAAATGCATTTTTTCAAAAGAATGGGGCTCAAACAAGGGCTTACTATTGAACATCTATACACATGCAGAGAACTAACAATAAACAGAAATCCAGTCCAAAATGAGAAATATAGGAAAAGAACCATTGCCACAAACCTCTAATTTCTGCAACAGATTAATCAGCAGGACCAAAGATGGAATCAACAGGTCAACGAGGCTCTTCTCACGATTACGTTCCAGCAGTAAATCTGAAGTTGTATTGTCCTCTGTACCCTCATCAACTAAATAATCTGCGTAAGACGAGAAAAACCGTGCTTTCAGTCTTCACAAGTGTTGAAAATTTGACATTCCTTTCTAGTCAAATCCTTTGTTTTAGTATTACCTTCCTTTATAATTTAAAAAATAAAAAAATAATAAATAATAAATTTGCGTTTTGTTCCAAAGAATGAGCTGAGAGTGCCTTTAAAATAGCCCTGATCGTAGATTTTCCTGTCTAAAATCAACGTTACAGACTCCTTTTAAATACGACTGAGTGTGAGATCACATCCACGTGTACAAGTCTCAGTTTAGAAAAAGAATCAAAATACTTGGACATGTATTGCTTAGCGCTTTCACTAATACGTGAACTTAAGACTTGCACCTCTTGACCAAAGATATTGCAAACAGGTAGTCAATGTGCATTACAATTTACTTCCCCAGAATCAAAACAAATGATCAGATTATTCAAAAAATGCTATTACTGTAGGTGATAGCTATTACTGTAGGTGATAAAGCAGTACTCAAAAATATAACATTCCATAGCATCTGCATCCTAATTATCGAATCAACAGAATAAATGCATTTATCACAATTGTTATAATTAACATTTAACAATACCAGTGAAGAAGCAGGCCCCTCTAGAACATGGAGGAAAATATTAAATTTGTGGTAGTTCATATAAACAGAACTACATACAGATTTGACATTAGTAGATCAACTGATGGTGGTATGATCAAATGACCTGGTCTACCTTCAAGAACTAAAATTTCTGCGAGGTTTATGAAAAAACATGGTACTGAAAATGCTATAGTCAATGCCAGCAAGAATTCATACTAACCGTAAATGTTGGATGTCCTTTCAAGCATGAGTTTACAGTTCATCATTACAGCATGGATAACCATGACAGCTCCTTCATCATAGAGAGCAGCAGCAACATCCTATATGGCTCAAACAAGATTTAGCCAGAAAGATCTCCTACACGTCATGCAGCATTGTAGATCTAGGAAATAATTTCTTACCGAATTATCTGAAATAAATGCTAAAATTCGAAATGTCGTAGTCAATTGAGCAACAGAGGAATCACGAAGAATGACACCAGCAAAATCCTTCTCCGTAATACGTTTTCCAAGTAAATTATCAATAATGTGACCATCAGAATTGCTGGAAGAATCTCCAACTACGTTATCAACATCCATCACATCAGATGCTAGAACACTATTTGCGGCCATGTGAGCATCCCCTCCAGAAGCCAACACAGCAGCATAACGTAAGAGACCAATGGCCCCATTTCTCTGGTAAACTACCCCGGCATCTATCCACTCAAGAAGCCGTGCAGGCGCATCTTTCTTGTTGGAGCCTGGTGAGGAGGAATGTAATACCCTGTGAAGTTCCTTAGCATGATCTATCCAATATGCTAGAGAAGATGCAGTTGAATCAGTAATAATAACTTCAAGAATCTCCGCTGCTGCATGAAAGATTGCCAGGCTTAATGGTGATACTCCTGCAATTGGATCCAGTTCCCTTCCAAAATGCAATGCATCCATCAAAACTGAAAGAGCCTGAAGCAAAACTAGAAGATAAAATTCACTTGTACTTGAAGATTGGAACACACTACCATTCAAGATGATGTAAAAATGGCAAGAATCAGAAAAAGGAGACCACAAATTTCATCCACTGGTCAGAGGGTGTCCAATCACCGCCAAATAAAGATATTCTGGTTCATGGTGGCACTAACAGATTCAATTAAATAAATTTCAGTTTTGATTCAATACTCAATGAGGCTCACTGGTGCCACTCCAAATTCAGAGGCTATGCACCAGATTTTTGAGAAATATTCAGAATTTCCAATGCAAGTTATGTTAGTACTACTCATGCTATACCTCTGGAAAATTCACCAAAGCCAACAGAGACTGGCGTCCACACTCGGAGCTGAAATACATCTTAGAAATGTTGGTCAAAAGACTAAAGCTAATGCAAAATCCAGATAAATCGAGCCTTTAAGTAAATTTACCGTGAAAGGCGACAAAGATCCCACAGTACCCATAGATATTCTTCAGTAGCTGGAGCCAATGTAAGTAAATTATCTACAGCATTTATCTGCATAAGAGCATAGGAAAAGGCAAATTGTGTAAGATGGAGCCTCCAAAAAGGGATATGAAAATATACTAAGAGCATGTTTATCTAGCTTAAAAAGTTTGCTTTTTAGTGAATGTGCTAAATTACATAACTTCTATTATTGGTTAAAGTGGAATATTAGTTAATTATTTTGAGAATAACACGAGTTTACCTCCAATCAATAACTTTTTTACTTAAAATTACGGAAAAACTAAATTATCCGAACATCTTTGGGGACAAAAAATTACAAGTAAATTCCCACTTACTTATGCATAGCCAATTGTGCTCTAAGATGAATTGCGAACAAGAAAATCAAGAATGAGAAAACCGAAATCGAAAATGAAACCTTGTAAAGAACAAAAAATATTAAGAAATGGTACTGACCGCCCTAACATGCATCTCGATGATCATGCTAACTTCCTGCGGGTGACAAACAAAATTCTTCGATATCAGGACAGAGGCATACCGAAGAGAAATAGAGTCTTCCTTCCTAATATCATCCACACCTCGCAAGGCATGAATGATCAAGCTGGAGACTTCAGGGTCATGTAGAAGAAAAGTTAATCCTGACAGCAAAAGCAGGCAAAATATATCACTATAACTCGCAAATTGCTATTGTCATGCAGTAAAGGTAACAGCCTCGGAACCTGAGCGACAAAAGAAGAGTGAGAGTATTATAGCTTCGATAAGTGACACAATATCTAATAATAAGTCCAAAGCATGCCCTGTTTCAGATCTCAAGATAGAAGATGACAGCAAAGCAGCTGACAAAGGAAGGAAGCCTCTCTCCTGCTTGCAATAAAAAATAGAAATTAATGTGCAGCCAAAAAAAAGGTTAATCAAGCAAACTATAAGAATGAACACAAGGACGAGAAGAAAAATGAACACCATTAGTGTTAGCAAAAAACATTCATGGAGCACAGGAAGTTGCAACATACGGCAGAAGTTTCATCATGCCAGAAAAGAGTGAATTAATAAAGTTGGAGTTCTCCAACTTAAGGTGCATTATATATTGCTTTACCCAGAGAGGGAAACCAGGGTGTTCATATGGGGTTAAGTGGCAGATAAAAACATTAGGAAATGGTCGTCAAGATTCTCCATATTCATGGACTTTGAAGTAGGATAGAAGCATGGAGTGAAAATCTAGAACTGACAACAAAAACTGAAGATATAATACCAGTCATAGTCTACAAAGCTTCCACATAATGGAGTAAGTGCAGTAAGGAATTGACTCTCTTGTGTCGGCAGCAAACATCTTGCCAATACATGCAATATGGGAAATAGCAAGGTCGTCAAAAGCGAACTGGACTGGCTAGTTCAACCGGAAAACACTAGAACAGGTCCAGAAACCAGTTCGGTTTTAGGTGAAAAACCAGAAAATTGCAAACCATTAAAAGAAGTCAAGAAATGGCCAGTTTTGTTTTTATTTATTTACCACTTATCCTCAACCCTTTACAAGGTTGATACCGGGAAAAGTTTTAAGAACTTTGGTAATTAGATATTTCATAATACATTCTTCAGAGCATAACCAACATTGTAACCAGGGAAAAATTAGTCATACTAGGTCATTGTTCAGAGCATGCAATAGAGAGACCCTCTCATGCTTACATCTGTGATAACTACAACTCTGATGTGGTCATGCTTGAAAATACATCTAGCATTTTTAAATGTATTATTATTTTTTCATCGTCGTCATTTTCTACTATTTATGTTTATTTGGTAGAGATTATTTGAAGTGAAAAATGACTTTTTTTTTGGAGAATGTGTGATTAAAAAGTTAGAAAAAGTTACAGATCCATGTGCAAAATTATTTTATTGGAAGAACATGTGGTTAAAAATGAGTTGATGAGAAATGATTTTCAAATAAGCTCTGCCAAACAAACGCTTAGTTTACATTGGATGTTAAATTCCTATGATGAGGGTGTTACACAATTCAACTTAGTACTCTATTGACTTAGCACCTACAGGTTCATGACATGAGGCAGATGCTTATATACAAACAAAAGGATGATGTAAGCCTTATGCAGCATACAACAGATATGCATTAAATAGATACACATTCAATCATGGGATGTAGTAGGATATGGTGTTACAGGAACACAAGTACAACAGAATACCTTGAGAAGGGAAAGCAAATGTGGGTCAATGTCCCAATTTGAAAAGCAACAATTTGAGAGTTTAATCAAGCCACTTGTTGAGCTATATGACAATAGTCCAGCATCATCAAAGATATATAATCTGCTTGCAGCAGCCATTGGAGAAGGGTCTTCAATTGGGCCACACAAATTTATCAATTTCTGTAATAACATGTCAACAAAATACGAACTAAGAAACCATCATGTCTCATATGACCAATATAAGAGAATAACTTGCTCGCATCCAAGCGATAAATGAGCCTCTGATAACTATGCTAGAGTTACAGCTTAAAAAAAATCATACTATATGACAAATTACCAAGAGCTTTTTAAGTTGAGCTTTAGCACTGGCAAGCATGTTCAAAGTGAAATTTGTAGCATGAGCAACTGAAGAATTAATCCCCAGAACTGATACTATTGCATGCTGCAAGAGGGAAATTATAATATTTTTTTGATAAGTATAAAAAATGATTCAATAAGCTAATTAATGAATTTTTCTTCCCTCCAACCCCCCCCCCCCCCCCCCCCCCACCAAAAAAAAAAAAAAAAAAAAAAAAA